AAATTAAAATGAAATAAAAATGTTTTTTCTTATATTTTTCAACATTTTGAAATAGCCATTTCTAGCCCTTTTCTACAATTCATTTTGATGTGTCAATAACAATTTTAGGACAAATGCTCATTAAATTGCAAGCACTACATACAAGCATACATAGAATGAAAATGGAACGCAGTTTGAATATACTTTCATCAGTATGAGCTGCATTCATTTGCGTTACATACCCATTCTATAGAAGGGGTTCAGTAAGTAAGGAAACAAGTCAATCGTTACAAACAATGAGAACAATAGAAACCCGTTTCCTTACTTACTGAACACTATATATTAAAATTCAATAACGGACTGTCGGATAAAATATTAAAAGATTTTTTTCTATCATATCATCAAACTAAATATCCTATTAAAGAAAATTAAAGTCTGGGTTTTAGCTTCGATGCAAAGCTGAGAAGATATTGGTTTTTTTTTTTTTTTGTGTCTGTTACCACTTTTTCTCAGCTCTCACTGAACCGATTTCTTTCTATGATACGTCAAAAGATCACAAATCGTATCTAGTCGAAGACATTACCCTCAAAAATTGAAAAAATTTCCCTCGTTCCCCGTAAATGGGAGAAACCTCCAAAAAAATTACAAATTTAAAAATCGCTAATTTTCAAAATTTTTTCAATTTTTTTTTACTAAAAACTGCCGTAACTTTTTCAAAAATGAACATATCAATATAATTTTTTTTATAGATGCTTGATGTCTTTACTTATCATTTATTATATTTTTTTCATTAATTAAACCCTTTATCTTCCCACAGGGGGGATTTAAAATGACAACTTTTTCACGAAAAATTAACTTTTTCAATTTAACTTTTGAAAGTGTTCCGGAAAGTCTGACACTTTTATATATATCTTAAATTAAAGGTAATGTAATTTACTTTATTTTGAAAAAAAAAAATTGACATCTGGACTTGTCTTCACGGTGAAAATAGACATCAAGGTTAATAAAAAATTACGATTTTTGTAAAATAATTTTTTTTTATATTTTTAACTTAATAATGCTATAACTTTTTCAAAAATGAACATATCAATATAATTTTTTTTATATAGATGCTTGATGTCTTTACTTATCATTTGGTATATTTTTTTCGTAAATCTGACCCTTTATCTGCCCACAGGGGGAGATTTAATATGATAACTTTTTCACAAAAAATTAACTTTTTCAACTTAACTTTTGAAAACGTTCCGGAAAGTCTGACACTTATATATATATATTAAATTAAAGCTGATGTAATTTACTTTATTATGAAAAAAAAAATTTGACCTCTAGACTTGTCTTCGTGGTGAAAATGGCTACCAAATGCTATTATTGTGTGAAAATTCTCGATTTTATTTTTTACATTTTTAACTTTATAATGCTCTAACTTTTTCAAAAATGAACGTATGAATATAATTTTTTTTTATATAGATGTTTAATGTCTTTACCTATCATTTGGTATATTTTTTTTGTAAATTTGACCTTTTTTCTGCCCACAGGGGGGGATTTAAAATGACAACTTTTTCACAACAAATTTACTTTTTCAACATAACTTTTGAAAATGTTCCGGAAGGTCTGACACTTTTATATATATCTTAAATTAAAGCTAATGTAATATACTTTAATTTGAAAAAAAAAAATTTGACCTCTGGACTTGTCTTCACGGCGAAAATGGCTACCGAATGCTATTTTCGTGTGAAAATTCTCGATTTTATTATTTATATTATATTTAACTTTATAATGCTATAACTTATTGAAAAGTTTATGGATCCACACAATTTTTTTATGAGAAATAATATTTTTTAATAAACCCTTTTTCATTCGACATACTTTATCTTAATCGAGATATTAATAAGGAACCAGCAGATCAAGTAGCTTTTGGAATAAAACACCAATTTTTTTAAAATTAAACACTATCTAAAGATTTGCATCGAAGCGTTTATTTTTGATAGTGATTTTAATCACTGTCAGATATCATTTACTTGATCCAACTATGCCACGTCACCACTGTGCCGCGACCCCCCTGTGCTGGGTTTTTTTTTATAATTGTATAATTATAAAACATAGCTAGGCAAGTTAACATATTTTTAACTTGTTAATTTCAGAAAGATTAAGTTAAGTTATGTTAAAAGTTATCTAATATATATTTTTTAACTACGTTAATAATTAAAACTACAACATAATTTTTTTCTTAATATACTATTGAAATAAAATTAAGATATGTTTTTCAGTATTCTCCAAAGGTTAAACAAGACGCACTCTGATAATTATTTTAGAGAAATATAATCATTTCTGTAATTAATAAGTAGAGGAAACCATAATTCTGACAATAGTAGCTCGTTATGTTTGCCGTCAGTCATAATTAAAATCCGGAAATTATGTACATCATAAAAAATCATATCAAAAATTTTGTTAGTATGAAATTTCCGAATCTTTTACATCAATATCAATGATAAATTTCAATTTCAATTCATTGAAAAATTATAATCAACTTATGAAGCTAAGAATAATTACAATTTTTTAAGCACAATAGCATCGATGCTTTATATAATAGTAATGTTAAATACTGTAAAATATCACTTGTCCCAACTATATAGTGTTACATGTTTGTGCTAGATTTTTTGATTGAATTTACACCAAATCATTAGAAAGAGGGGATTTAATATTTAACCATTAAATAAAAGAATATGTTTTTTAAAAAAATTATTACTATTTTATTATTGTTCACTATTAAAATATACTTTCACAATTCTGTGATGCTTGGTACATTGAAGCATAAATCATAAATTATAATTTTTTAGAGAGTAACCGTATGTTTGTTGTATTAAATAATTAATGAATTATTAAAATATATTTAAATCCCTATATATTAATAAGATAATCGTTATCAATATAACTTTACAATAAGAGTATTAGACAAAATATAATCTAGATTTTTTTGTATTCTCCTCATTGATTTAAATAGTATAATAAATTTTCGACTTAAGTTATTTGTACAAAGCACCAACGAATTTTATTTGAACAGAGATATAAATGCAGTCACAACAAAAGTATTTAAAAAAAAAACGCTTCCATGCAAATCTTTAGATAGTGTTTAATTTAAAAAAAATTGGTGTATTATTCCAAAAGCTACATGATCTGCTAGTTCCTTATTAATATCTTGATTAAGATAAAGTATGTCGAATGAAAAAGGGATTATTAAAAAATATTATTTCTCATAAAAAAATTGTGTTGATCCATACACTTTTCAATAAGTTATAGCATTATAAAGTAAAAAATATAAATTATAAAATCGAGAATTTTCACACAAAAATTGAATTCAGTAGCCATTTTCACCACGAAGACAAGTCCAGAGGTCAAATTTTTTTTTTCAAATTAAAGTACATTACATTAGCTTCAATTTAAGATATATATAAAAGTGTCAGACCTTCCGGAACACTTTCAAAAGTTAAGTTAAAAAAGTTCTACTTTCTATATGCATTTTTTATATTTGAAGCTCTCCCATATATAGGGAAATAGTCTGATTTAAAAAAAAAGTATATCCAATGAAAGATGTATATAAATACTACTTCTCATGAAAAAATTGTATTGATCCATACATTTTTTAAAAAGTTATAGCACTTTAAATTAAAAAATGTAAATTATAAAATCGAAAATTTTCACACGAAAAAAGCATTCGGTAGTCGTTTTCACCATGAAGACAAGTCCAGATGTCAATTTTTTTTTTTCAAATTAAAGTTCATTACATTAGCTTTAATTTAAGATATATATAAAAGTGTCAGACCTTCCGGAACATTTTCAAAAGTTCTGTTGAAAAAGTAAATTTGTTGTAAAAAAGTTGTCATTTTAAATCCCCCCCTGTGGGCAGGTTAAGTGTCAGATTTACAAAAAAAATATACCAAATGATAAGTAAAGACATCAAGCATCTATATAAAAAAAAATTATATTCATATATTTATTTTTGAAAAAGTTACGGCAGTTTTAAATTTCGAAAATTAGCGATTTTTAAATTTTTAGCGATTTTTAAATTTGTAATTTTTTTGGAGGTTTCCCCCATTTACGGGGAACGAGGGAAATTTTTTCAATTTTGAAGGGTAATGTCTTCGACTAGATACNAGGGTAATGTTTTCGACTAGATACGATTTATAATCTTTTTAGATATCGTTGAAAGAAATCCGTTCGGTGAGAGCTGAGAAAAAGTGGTAACAGACACAAAAAAAAAGAAATAATAAACACATCATAGTAAAACCAATACCTTCTCAGCTTCGCATCGAAGCTAATAATATCAGTTATTCTTGCGAAATATTCTTTATTTAATTAAATATATTTTACTATGTAATTTAAATTCAATATTTTTATGAAAAGTAGTACATGCCTACCAACAAGAAAATAAATCTTAATACCTCATATAATTGCTAATTAGTGTTTAATTATGTCATCCTTTTATTTTTATAATATTAAATTTAATTGACCATTAGTTCAGAATTCAGCGAGTTATGAAAGTATAAACATAATATGTTTCATCCACAAACTAATAGTAACAAATCTTCACTAAATTCTACACAACAAACTGCTTTACTTATAAATATCCCAATATTATAATTTGTAGATTTTTACTATGTTTTGCTATTTTATCAGAAAACAAAATACCGTATACTAAATTTTAACACCTAATTTTATATTATTTTAAAGTATACAAAAAATATATTTTCATTTCAAAAACATATTAAAAATTAAAAAATATATTTAAACAATATTAACCAAAAGTGATGACTCCTTTTTATTTCTGGAGGAAAGAAAAAAATTATTTAATTATTATTGTATAGTTTTTTTAATCAAAATATTTCTTTTACAAAAATTTAAATTTTTCAATAATTTCTAAGAAAATAAGTGTCTTACAGGTTAATGCATATTGAATTATCTTGTTTATGTTAGTAGACCTAATGTAAATTGTTATATTAGCTGTATAAAATATTATGAAATAATAAATACAATATATTAAAAATGATATAATAGTAGTGTCAATGGCACATCGTACTTTTGGGAGTAACTTAATTTTTTTATAAATAGGATAAAAAAATTGTGATTCTGGCTGATTCTCGAATTAACTCTTTTACTACTCTTATTTCTCGATTTATATATGTGACAACGCTATCCATACTCAGTTATATTAATCAAAGAAAAGCGGAGATTATTAATGTCAAAATATATCCTAAACATCAAAAAGGTAAATACCAATATTTCACTAAAAATTTAAAAGTTAAGATTTACATTTAGAGTTAAGTGTTTTGATTACAAAATTTAAATAAGAATTCAATAAAATCCAGAAATTATTAAAAAAATATATTGATTTAAAGATCTATTTACTAGCGTGTGTCTATTTTAGAAGCCAGGACAGAGGTTCATATATTGACACTATACTACTTTAGGTTGACACTTATGGTGTTTCTATCCAACCTGTCATAGGTAACCGTAAGAAAGTAATAATTAATTACATTAATTTTTATAATGATAAATAAAGATCTCTATATTTTTTTATAGATTACATCATCTTATAAACCTTCATACCCTGATAAATATAGTATCTTGAATTAATACATAGTATCTAACCCAATTTCATATTAGTGTTCTACTAATAACAACTATTTTTATTTGGGTTACTGTATTATTGACGGGATTCATCTTATTGAATAAAAAATTAATATATTTTATCCATATAAACTATTAGTTAATAAAATATTTTAGCTATTTTAAGTGATTAACAAGTTTGACACAAAATAGCTTTTTATGGGAGTTCTTGTTAGGATAAAAACATAAACTGAAATGCAAAATTAATTAAATGTTTCATTGCTCATTCAAAAACTAAATTAAGAGTAAACATACATGAAAGTATAAAAATATACATAGTCTCCGTGACAAAGCGTGGAAAACAATGTTAATCCCTAAATAATTCCTTAGTGAATATTCATAAAAAAATAGAAATTTATGTTTGTAGCATAAATTATATCTAATTAATTCATATTATTCATTAGAGAGTATTTATATCAATACTGTTTCAGCTGATCTGTCTTTGAAATTATATATCCAATCATACACGGAGCAGACTTGCATCTAATATTTCAATCAGTTATACATTCATATTGACGTTTATATTATCCGTTGTGTAAGTTCAAATATGCGATTACCAACCAACGTATATAATAATATTATGACATACACGAACAGTTTCCTTTGTTTAATCACACTGTGACTAAAGCCGGAACTTAAACTAGCGTAAAATGACAAATAAACAGTCCCGTCTGTTTTTTAACATAATAATGTTATTTATACTATTTCTCATTCCTATTGTCTTAAAAACTCTCTTTGATATTATTTTATAGTCATTCAAATCGTTTAGAAATGTAAATTTGTTAAAAGTTGGATACAACTATAGAATATGTTTATATATTACAAAAATTTACTTTTTAGGACCAATCATGAATACTAAGAAATTAAAGAAAAGAAGATCATTTTTGGTAAAAATTTAAAAAAAAATAACAGTAAAAATTTCTTATCAGAAATCACATAGAATAACAAAATATGTAAAATATTTTATTTTAAATATATTAATTGATGTGTGTGTAGTTTTCTTATAAACAGATATATAAATAGATGAAGTTTAAATAATCTAGACAAAAGTTAATGTAATATTCAGTGTTTTAAATATATAATCTAAATAAAATAAGTTTTGTATAAGATTCTTGGAAAAATCAATTAAATATTTTCGAGATCACGAATAAGCTTTTAAAAAAAATATGATGTAGGTTTTTATTAATTGAAAAAACAAACTTTTGAAGTATAAATTAATTCTAGTTTAAAAGCACTTAGGACAGAATCGAGTAATTAAAAACCAATTGTTTCAAACTCTGCAGTAATTGAATATTTTTCCATTGGATGGACAAGAGGATAATATTGACCATATATACGTAAAAAGGGTTTTTAAGAACAACTTTTTCTTTAATTGCATTAATAAATGCACGCAAAGTTTAAATATCATGTAAATCGTATAATATCATCGAAACCACTGTTTTTTTTAACATGATTAATATATTTATTTTTTTTTGCAATTTATATTAAGTAATACCATTAAAATAAGTAACTTAATAATTGTGTTAGAGAAGAAAGGAAAACTTGTACGGCTAAGTGAAAAGGAATGGTTTCTATGCCTACATTCAAAGACACAAGGCGTACTAAACCGAACTATTCAGATTTCTTTTGAACTTATTTAAAAATTTTAATTTATGTTTGAAATTTCAAAATATTTTGGACAAAATTTTTAACTGTCGTACATTCATGTAATTTGTTTTTTTTTTTTTTTTTTTAAATAATTTTTTAACAAACATTTACAATCTGTATACATAGTAATGCAATAAGTAAGACAAACAATTTATACTAATCTAAAACACTCCAGTAAATAAGTTTTGCTACAATATGAGATGAGACGAAGGTTCTAAAGCACTATACATAAAAGATCATGTAGATGGTTTCGAGTTAGGTTTGCCAGCATAAAAAATAAAAGGAAGACCCAATAAGTTTGTCTAAGGAAGTTTTCAAAATGGGTTGCTAGTGGTTGCGGCGTTTTAATGGTCCGACACGAAATAATGCTATATGCGTTTAGGCAACTGTGTGCATGTGTCTGACTTGGTCTTCATCATTCTGCTTTTGTCTTTCAGCTACTATTACTCGTATAAAAGTTCGAGAGAACAAAATGTTTCATCCGCCAAGTGATAAAACTCTACCAGTTACAACCCCTTCTCTGTCCAAAAGCTGTGGACTTCTGTATATAGACGTGCTACAATTAATAGCAAGCTAGGCAGACTTCAAGCACAGTTTTCAAGTAAATAACTGTGTATGTGGTATGAGTATGAACGATAAAAAAAAAGCTACTAAAACAACTTGACCCTCTCTTTGTCCATTTTTCAGTCGGATTTCTTGGTCCTTGTTAAGTAATACAAAACCACGAGTATGATAGAAAAAAAAGTCTATTTATCTTTGTTGACTTCTGTAAATCTTCTAATTAGTTGTTGGAAACTTGGGAGCTACAAACTATACACTTTAAGACATTCTAATGTATGTCACCCATTACTTAAGATCTCGTATTGCAATTTAAATTAAATTTCCTTATATTGCATTGACATAATTAGATTAAAAGAAGTTAAATTGTTCAATTTGTCAGAAGTTTTAGTAAAATGTGACCTAAAGATTTCATGTCATTTTGTACCAATTTAAAAAAAAATGTAATTTACAAACGAGATAGATGTATATTGTTCGTTACTCAATTTATTTTTAAAAATTGATCGGCGATGAATTTAATGTCATGTATATAGCAAATCATTGATATACGTACAATAATAATACTTAAATAATATATATATATATATATATATATATATATATATACAAAATGATCGGTTTATCATAAACCACTCATTGCGATTAAAATAAATACAATATTGAAATTTTTTTTTTTATTTAGTTACAATTATATCTTGATTTATCAGATAATAATTACTTTTAAGAATAATAATGGGGTGTTAATTTTATTTTTTCAAATTACAACGTACATGATTAACTAGCTTATTTAATAGATAATGATGCAATTAAGAAAATTACTGATCGATAACAACTGATAAATGAGTATTTCAGAAGTTATTAACAATTTAAAGTAATGACTGGAGGTGGGGACTGGGTGCAACAATTTTTATCACCAGTTATTTCCCGGTCATACTCTTCCTCCCACCTAGGTATAAAAATGAAAATAACTTCCAAAATATTGGTCCAAAAGTTGTTATCAATCAGTCATTTTCTTAATCACATTATTATCTATTAAATAAGTTAGTAAATTATGTACGTTGTCATTTGAAAAATTACAAAAATAGTTGGAACACCTATAAGTTATAAGGGATGATCCTAAAAAGTAATTTATATCTAATAAATCAAGAAATATACGTAACTAAAAAAAACCGAAAAAATTTTCCCCACTAATATATATACTTTGCGAGTAGTCGAGTGGTTTATAATAAACTGATCACTCTGTATATACGAGACGATTCCCCAACTACGCCTCACAAAATATTTTCGTAAATATTGGAATTAATTATTGTTTTATATTTTTAACAATAATGGAATTTGGTTTAGCTGCTTTACTAATAGCTTACTAACTGATTATTTAGTAAAATGTTCCCTAAAATTTTGACCGTATACTGAAATACAGCCTGTCATTTAATAAACTAAAAAAATTTATACCAAGTATAACAATACAACAATTTTTTGTTATTTATTAAGTAAATACTAAAATTAAAAAGAAACGTACGTTAAATCAATGTTAATGTCATATTTTATTATCAAAACTAACATTGGTTCATTTCAGTATTCATTTTCTATATCAACATAACAAGTATGTATCAAAAGAGATTTAAAGATTTTTATTTCAGTTAACAAAGTATTCTCCTATCATTATAAGTAAAGATGAGAATAGACTGTATTTGTTTATTCGATATGGATCGATTTTACACGAATGTGTGCTGGCGTCTATGTTATTAATCTTTTTATAAAATAACACAGAGCACAATGCTATTTTATAAAAAGATTTGATCGTTAAATATACTCCATTTAGAGTACAATTTATTAGTGATTTAGAGTGAACGTTTAAACGTAACAAAATTTTATTGTATCCGTTTAGAAAAGATGAAGAAAAATAATAATAATAAAAACAAAGAGTCAGCAGCACATTGGCATTAGTACCGGATGTTTGAATAAAAAAAAATTATAAGGTCTTCTTGTAACGGTGTTATGAATGCTTCGTATTTTTATTGCCATCCTAAATACACGATTGGAGACCGAGATAGGTCCCTTTACAGCTCAGCATAACCGCAGTTCTGAAAACGTTAGACTCGCAGGATCGTTTGTGGTTAAGGACATGATTTGCCGGATTCCAACGAGCAGCGTTAACGATATTGGACAGGTGATAGGAGGTAAATTTATTTTCCTGTTTCTGATTGGTCGACCGAATCGATTTGACGTGTAATATCAAATACGTGCTTGTGGTTGATTTAAACGAGGCGCGTTGTTAAATTTCGAGAAGTGCATTTTAACTGTTATCCACAAGATAAAATTTAATTAAAATACTTAAAAATGATCACGTAAAAAGTAGAAAGCACAAGAGATAAAATTTATGGTCAAAAAAACTTAAATTTTAGGAACATTTATTAGCTAATAATACTCAAGAAGTTCTATAAATATAATTCAATAATTAAGGGTTTGAAAATAATTATATGCCTCTGTTTTAACGGTTTACTGTACAAGTTAGACTAAATTATTATCTGATAAAATAGAAACAAAAAAATCTTTCACGTAGTGTGTATTATTTAAATAGTTTGAAGGAGGTATATTTTCTTAAATAAAATCAATGCCAAAATATATAATTATATTTATCTTGTTGAGACGGCGAAAACTAGTCAAAGTTTATGAATTAGTTCAAAGTTTAAGGTGTATAACGTCATTTTATCATTATAGCTCATTCAAGATGTCTTATTCAATTAATGTATTTAATTAGTTAATAAAGCTCAATAAAAGCAGTAGTTTACGCTATCGTAAGTCACAAATAATAATTTTATATTTACTAAAAATGTTCATATTGAACAGGGTAGTAAGTAATTGCTGACACTTAAAATACAACTTACCGTAAAAAATATTTTTCAAGGGCGATATTGATTTGAACATTTTATATTTGTTGGCAATAAAGTTTCTGGAATATCATCAGAGTAAAATATCCATATAACGTTTACTTTTAGACTCTATTAATTTAGATGGACTTTATTTATGTTAGTGATAAATAATTTAAATTAATTTATTTTTTATTGATGATATTTCAATTATGTTTTTAAATTTTTGATAGATCTTATAGCTATAATTATGAAACGAATAATATAATATATTTTATTAAGAATTGCAAGTTATATTAATTAGATGAATTCATCACATCCAATTGAATTATTTATTGTCAAGGGTCCAATTCTAAATTTTTAGGAAGATACAAAAAATGATTTTTTATGATTATTATTATTATTTTTTAATTGATAAATTTTCATGTTTTAACACTATTAAAAAAGCTGATTTAATTTATGAAGTACAAATTGTTCATATTAACTTAGCCATAGTAATCATTTAAAAGTGGTAAATTTGATCACTTTTTTAAATAAATATTTTAATTCTTAAAATTTATTATTATTAAATGGGATAACACGGTCGCCGGAGATTGAAGGCCGGTTATAGAAAGTGTACCGGAAATCGTGTGAAAAAAAGAGGTACGGTACGGGATTAGAACCCGCGACTCATGGCGTTGTAGAGACAAACCGTATCATTGGGCCACTTATCATTCGGATGCCGATACACTTTCATTTAGGTTGATAACGTGAAGTGCGACTGAGGGAAATACAGTTCCGTGTCAAGGAAAACACTATTTTTATGTTCGATATATTTATTTATTCACCTAAACTAAGAACTATATTTACAATTATAAAATCACAGTAC